CAGAGCTGAGCTTTATCAATATAAATATCTGCAATTTTCTTTAGCAATATTTAATACATATGTTATCTTTTCATTTTAGTGAGATAATTGAACTTGTTCTTGTGAGCACAACTTTTTATATCTGAGCCTATAGTTGAAAGAGCTACCTTTAATTTCTGATCAAGACTTTTCCTAAAAAGTCCCCCCCCCCCAGTTCTTGACAGTTAACACAGAGGATAAACTTTGTTAAAAAATATATTTTCTAGAAAATAGTAAAAGAATATTTTTAGGATTTTTGCCAATGGATAAATACTCCATTTTTGCAATTTTGATTTTGAATCCTGATATACTTTCTGAAACATTCAGAGACATTAATCTAAAAGTCCTAGTAGCTCTTTTTAGGATTCGAACTACAATGAAAACTACATTTCAAAGGAACTGTTTTTTAGCACATCTTGCCAAAGCTAAAATTTGTTTTTGAATCAATTAATTTTATTAGAGCAAGTTAATACAGTTCCAAGTGGTCCTTGCATTTTTAGATTAAGTTCATTTAAATAGTCAAATATGTCACTCAAGTAGATCATTTTTTGCACTCAGTAATTGTCTTCCAATTTAGCTGGATAACAAGAATTACCCTAAGTACTTTTGATTCTGCAGCTTATGAACTTTCAACAGAACTCTCCCTGTTGATAGCCTAAGAACTCCAATATGGAACAACAAAGATCTCAGTTCATCACATAAAACTGAATGACTGAAATGGTCTACTTTTGACCACATTTACCACTGTTTAATGTTATTAAATGTGGGCTTTAATTTTAGGTGTAAACTAACATGGTAGCATCTGTGTAAGTAATGCATACATTATTTGAACATCAGGATTTTAGAATCAAATTTCAGACACTAAGCCTCTGACCCTTCCTGTCATTGCAACTGCATCATCAGTACATGAACAAACATACTTTTTTTTCATGAAATTTTACACTGTTGCACCATAATCAACAGCTTGTGGTTAAATTTTTCATGGCACACTTCCAATGTTTTATGACACTACACAATACCACAGCATCAGCTGGGAAGCCCTGCATTAGAGAGGTTAAATCAATAAATCTATTACATATTTAAAAGACCATTTTGCTTGGATTGCAATTAACAGTAGCAACATCAACTGCCTTATATTTATATTTGGCACCTCTTTGTACCTAATATTTATACAGTCAAAAGTCCATAATCCGGACCTCAAAGCTACAAACTTTCTGCGCATGTGTCAATGCATAATGCCTTCACGCATGTGCATAATATGTGTATGCATGCACGTTTAATGTATAACGGACAGTATAAGCTAAGCTAAAATTATCTATTTCAGTTAATGTTGCAGAATGCGTTGTTTTTTGATCTTCTAATTGGATACGGCTTATTATTTTTTGCAGACTGTTAGAGCAATTTTATAAAAGTGAGCTTGAACTTTCGATTACGTCAAAAAGAATTTCTGATTCTGGAGCTACCAAAGGATCTACAAAGCGAAAGCATGTTCCAATGTCCATCAAACAAAAAGTGGAATTGCTGCAAAAAAAATGGATAAAGGCATATCCTTTGAATTTCTAATCATTCTGAAATATGTTTATCAATTTCACGCCGCTCTGGGGGGGGGGGGGGGAGACACGGCGCGCAATGAACTGGAAGTTGATCTGTCAGCACTACGCTTATCTTCAGGGTAGACGCTTTATTTTATTTGGCTTATAATTCCTTACTAAATGTAGTATTTCATCTCAATGTACTCTGTCTTTGACATGATTTAAATCAAATTCCTCATCATTATAAATATCACGAATACACATCAAATAGTTTTTTGGTTGCAATTTTCTGTATTCAACTATGCATGATGTATGCTTTATGCATGCGCATTGAAAGAAATGTTTAATAAAGTAAACAAATAAATATTAAGCTTTTTTTTTTGTAAATTTTGATGCCCTTCAGATCATAATTGTGATTTCATAAATTACGGTTTCATATTTTTAATTTTAGAATTTCTGCATGCCATCTTACGAGATTTAAATTGATGATCTATAATCCGGAATCGCCGAAGTCCCGACGAGTCCGGATTAAAGAATTTTGACTGTATTAATTTTATTTTGCTGAATCAGTTTAATAATTGTTTTCTCTTCTAAAAATATTTAGATTCCTCTCCTATGAGATATAAAAATCCACGATGGGAACATGATTTTAAAACAATTTTCTCAGACATTTTAAACATACATTTATTACAACTGAAGACTTATGGTAAGTACAATGTAGCTCACAATTTGAAGCAATGGTGCTTTTTTTAATTGCTCCAGTAATGACAGAACTAATGCAACATTATTTTCTAATAACCATCCACTCCTCCAAGAACATTCAAATTACCCCTTTATATAATTCATAATGGTGAAATACTACTACTACGATATAACTGAACACTTAATCATAAGGCACTTTTTTACTTTATTATGTTAAATATATTACTTGTTAGATTATAGTCAAAAGTCGTTAATTCAGACACCCATAATCCAGAATGATCTATAATCCGGACCTCAAAGCTAAAAATTTTCTGCGCATGCGCCACGTTGACACATGCGCATAGGCGTTTACGCGTGCGCGTAAGACCTCTTACTACTGCGCATTTGCGTGTGCGTAAGCGCAGAATACGTTTTCGCATGCGCGTTTTATGTATTATGGACGGTATAAGCTAAAATTATCTAATTATCTATTTCAGTTAATGTTGATGATTGCGTTGTTCCTTAATTTTCAAATTGGATCCGGCTTATTATTTTTTGCAGACTGTAAGAGCAATACTATAAAAGTAAACTTGAACTTTCGATTATGTCAAACAGAATTTCCGATTTTGGAGCTCCCAAAGGATCGTACAAAACGAAAGTATGTTTCGATGTCCATCAAACAAAAAGTGGAATTGCTGCAAAAAATGGTTAAAGACATGAAGAATGTGACAGAGAGGTTAGTGAAAACGAAAAAATTTCGATTGACAAGTTAGTCAGTATTCTCGGCACAGCAATTAACGGGACTTGAACAGCAGAACTTTGTAACTGAATAAAAAATTATGTCTGTTTATAGAATTAAAGAGAAAGTGTTATCACATAAAACGAAGCAACTTAAACAACTTACATTGAAAGAAATGTTTAATAAAGTAAACAAATAAATATTAAGCTTTTTTTGTAAATTTTGATACCCTTTAGATTGTTCTTTATTTCATAAATTACAGTTTCATATTTTTAATTTTAGAATTTCTGCAGGCCATCTTACGCGATTTAAACTGATGATCTATAATCCGGAATCGCCGAAGTCCCGACGAGTCCGGATTAACGACTTTTGACTGTACATGACAAAGTTTTTCATTGTGATGTCAATATATTTTCAATTAGCAATGTTCGTGTATATTTCAACTTCTGAAATTTGATATTGCTAAAATATCATTAAAAAGTTGCCAATCATGTCAACTGAGAATTCATCTCTCTCTCTTCCCCCCATTTCTAATTGTTGTTTTTTAATAATGCAAAATATAGTAGAAGTCCAGAAATCCGCAATGCTTGGGACCAGAGGTTATGCGGATTTTAGGATTTTGTCGATTTCAGGACAGAAAAAAAAAATCATAATGTTCAGATTAGAAGTGCAATATAAATAATTCATATTAAATACATTTAATTAAATTATTATATACATTATTACATTAATTTATTATATGCATAAAATTATTATTACAGTAGAAAGTCTGAAATCCAGACGTCCATTATACGGAATGATCTAAAATCCAGACCTCAAAGCCACAAGCATTCTTTTTTTTTATGCTTTATGCATGCGCATTTGATTTTTCATGCCATAATAAAACAAGTGGAGATTTTTTCACTTAAAATTCCAATTCTTAATCTCACTTAGGCACTAAATAAAATACCTTGTTATCGAAAAACAATCATGTGAGCATAAATTTGTGAGATTAATGATTTGGCTCCGTAGCCGAGTATCTGCTTGGCATACATCTCAAACCAAACATTCACCTATTTTATATCCCTGATGCTGACCTGGCGAGTCATTATTTATTATATTTTGCTTTCATCACCGCATGTTTATCAATACATGACAGCTTCAATAATAACTCATGCTGTGATGTCTAAGATTTTTTTAATATTAATAATTGAATAACAAGAGTATGGCAACCTTTTATGCTAACATTACACTTGGCGATGATTACAGATTTTTAAATGCTCTAAGAAATGTTGATGAAGAAAAATTCAACAAAAATTTCTTTTCATATGCTAAAAATTGATTTTGTTAATGAAACTCATAGGCCAAAAGATTACATTTAGTGCAAATTTAATTAAGAACTGATATGTTATTCACCATAAACCCAGAAGCGGTGGCAGAATATGTCAGTACCGGACAGTAGAATTTAGAGAAGACGAAATTTTTGGAATTTGGGGAAGGACCGAGCAGCAAATTTAGGAGAGAAGTTTTTTATGATTTAGGAGAGAAGTTTTTTATGATTTAGGGAAAGCACCTGGTATCCAAAGTTTAGGCACGATGAAAATTTAGAACTTAGGAAGATGGTTTGTAACAGAATTTAGGACTGTACAGACTGCACCAGGTAGTATCTAGTGCCGGCCCTAGATAAAGCCTTAAGTATATGTGGGAGTTATTCAGAACTCTGCAAGAAATAAACGTAGGTATAGTAAATAACTAAACTAATACAATGAAGGCTTAATTCAGTACTCAGGAGGAGCAAGACAAAATTTAGTGAAATATCTTGGCTTTCATCGCCAATCTCGTGATACACAGCCAATAATGTATAACGGATGCTATTAAGCTAGGCTAAAATTATCTTTACTGATTTCAAGGCATTTCAGTTAATGAATAATCTTTATAATACAGATCATAAGATTATTATTTGTTGTATGTAAAGCTAAAAAAATATTTTTAGTAAATGCCTTACTTAAAAAAATAAGCATGCAAAATTAGATAAAATGCATATAGCTTACACATGATACTTCTTTGCCATAACTGTATCCTAAGTGCTCATAAAATCCTTGTTTATCTTGAGTATTTAAATACACAGTAGAAAAATGCAGCCTATGTAAAATTAATTTTATTAAATAACTAACATTTACAGACATATATTTAATTAAAATTCATTTAAAAAGGTGCATAAACAAAATTCATTCAAAGCTATTTTTAAAAAAAATCTGAAAGGTTTCATCAGATTTTAAATTACTTTTAAAGATGCGTTCTCTTAACATTTTGTGTGTTACCTTTATTTATTAAATATCACATTCTTTGCACTTAAACCATAAAATTTAGTTCAATAGCAATGTCGCAAAATAATTTTAAAATGAGCATATCTTTAGAATTTCCGATACACAGTTCCATGCGGTGGAGATAAAAAGTTTTTTTCCCCGTAGTGTTGCCATTGCTCGCTTTATATCATTGAGTTTGTTACTCAAAAATTCGTTAAAGTTTTACAAAATATGAAGTCGATCATAAAACAAATTCCAAATTTGATCTTCCACATGCCCATATTCATAGGAGGATTACATCATTCAAAATTCGATGGCTTTATGTACCGTTGTTTTATCACAATGCGAGAAATATACATACATTTATGCAGAATTTTCATTATTTAATTTCTTCAAACATAATGCAGGACTCTAATATTTGGTGGCAATAGTTTGAAAAGTGGGACTAAAAAAAAGATTGTAAAAAAATAGGCCATTGTGAACGTTCTCTTACCTCTGTAATTGTAACTTTGAAAAGAACTCTTTAAGTTTTGATTTTGAATTGTAGCTGCAGAGAATTTTGAGTGAATAGTATATTTTGTAAAATGCTGCAATATGTGCTTGTAACTAATATAGGTATTTTGACACAAAATCGGACTTTTTCTGAAATGATATGCCAATTTGTTTTCCATATTTCGATTCTAGGATTCAAATTATGCCAAACTGCCAAGTTTTGTAAAAATCGCACAAATAGCTATTAAAAAATTATCTCTAAAACTTTTAGCTCGTCAATGTTAATTGAATATGATATATATTTATTAATATCTCCTTTTTTATTAAACTTATTTAATTCTTCCTTTGATATTTCAAAATTTAGGTTTATTCTAAATAAAATTTGTTTATTTTTAAATAATTTTTATAATAAATTTTTTCAAAAAAAATTTGAATTATAATCTATAAAATTTTTACCACCATCTTAAAGTAGATATATTTCTAAGCATATCTGCATAAAATTACAGTTTTTTATTCAAAGTTTCGGAAGATATATGTGAATTTATATACTGGCGCCTTTTGAAATTTGGCATAGTTGTTGAAAGCGATAATAACATCAAATGTGGTTTAGGCACTTTGTTAAAATTATTTGAAAGTAGAAATGATGTGATTTTTTTTCCCACTCCACAATGGAAGAGAAAGAAAAACAGGTTGTCGTATATTAAGAAGTTCGCCAAGTGAATTATTCTTGGCACAAACTAAAAACAATGCACCATGTTAAATGTTTTAATTTCTCTGTAAATTTTGCACCAAATTTTACAAAATGTAACATTTAGGCATAATTTGAGTTGAAGAATCGAAATATGGAAAAGAATTGGTATGTTATTTCAGAAAAAGGAAAAGTTCGATTTTGTATCGAAATACTTGTGTTAGAACAATGCTATATATAAATCTAATACATATCCTAATTCGCGCTTTGCAGACATGAAAAACGTAATTTGAATTTTGTCAATCGGCCCAGTAGAATGGGAGATATAGACCTGCTTCCCCTTTTTTTTGTGCAGTGTACAATAACATTTTCCAATAACGATACATCTTGAAAGTATTATTAGGGTTGCTATTATTTTTTTCAGGCTATATTTCACATCAATTTTATATTTAGCCATAACCATCCCTCCATTAGCAGAAAAGGATACTTTTTTGATAATGAGGCACCACTTAAAATCAAACATAAAAATTGGCATGAAAATCTAAGTAGATGGCAGCAACCTTAATTACACATAAAGCTTTATAAAAAGAATAACTGTTTTATATATAATGAACATTAAACTATAATGTTTTTAATATGCACAATGATGAATTTATGCAATTCTTTGATATTTTTAAGAGAAGACAGATTGCTGCTTACAAGAACAAAATGAAATTTTTTTAATACCATGTACACATCAATGGGTTTTCTCCTCATCATCGTAAAGACATCAGAAAACTCTTCAAATTTAGCATTGCACACTTTAAATATTATAGAGTAGAAAGTATGAAATCGAGACATCCTATATCTGTAATGATCTAAAATCCAGATTTCTGGACCACCAAGAAAACTATTATCTTTTTCTCAGCTGCTTTTTTTTTGGGGGGGGGGAAGTACAGATACTTTTTCATAATTAAACATGTGTAGAGTCCCGATTCTTACCACACTAAATAAAATGCTTTCATATTGAAGAAACAATCATTTATTAGCATAAATTTGTTGATCAATAACTTCGCTCTGTAGCCACCTTTTCACTTTGCATAGATCTCAAACCAAAACATTCTACATTAAAACATCATTAATTTTACACCTATTGAAAATTTTATAATTTATATCCATAATGCAACCTTGTGAATCAATAGTTATTATTTTTTGCTTTCTTCACTGCCTGATTACCAATACATGCAGCTTGAGAAATGACTCAACACAACGATATCTAAACAATTTTTCTTCTACATATTAGTAATTGAATATCAAAGAGCATGGTAACCTTTCATGGTTACATTGGTCTTATGGTATGATATTATGCTTGGCGATGATTACAGACTTGAGCTAACTATGATGCTGAGTGTGTTGAAGAAGAGAAATTTAACAAAGATTTCTTTCTCTTTAAAAAAATAGATTTCATAAATGACACTCATAGGCCAAAAGATTAAATTTAATACTGTTTGAATAGGGAATAACTGATTTGTTATACAGATGAGCTCAGTACTGACGCCACAGCTGGTGCAGTCAAACCAAGCAGCAGAATTTAGAAGAGGCAAAATTTTTAGAATTAAAGAAGCATAGAGCAACAAAATTAAGGGATGGCAAAATCTTCAGAACTTAATGAAGGACTGAAATTTAAAATTTTTAGAATTAAGGAGGCACTAAGCAGCAGAATGCAGGAAATGCAGAAACTACACCTGGCCATGAAAAGTCCAGTACAAGTCCTGGATAAACATAAGGAATATGTGGGAATTTATGAGCATTCAGAACTCCGGTAAGCATGTGTGGGAAATAGACGTAAGCACAGTAAATAACTAAACTGGTATAATTCCAGCTTACCTTTATCAGCATGCATTAAAACTGTATGTTGATGAAGTTAAGCCTTAATATTGGTAAGAACCAATACAAAATTTGGCAGAAATACATGTCTTTAATCAACAATCTCATGCTAGGTCACCAACAAATGTGGATGCTACCTAAGCTTCCACATGATGATAGCCAAAAATTTGAAGGTGTTCAGATATTGCACACAAAAGCAAAATTTTCCAATTACTGGAATTTGTAAAAAAATGTGGAAAAGTGGTAATAAATGAAGATGATACAACAGAAGCTTTTACTACAATAGCAATGCCTCAAACATCAGTCAACTAACAGACAGCAAAATCTGTAATATGGTTTCTAAATCCAGAAAATATCACTGCTGATAGTAAAGAAAGTGACAGAGAAGTTGCTGAGAAGGAACAAATTTTGATTAACTTTTAGTGAGAATTCTCAACACACCAGTTACAAGACTCTAACAATAGAACTTTGTAACTGAACAAGAAATTGTGTCTAGTTGTAGAATTAAAGAAAAGCATTAGCATGAAAAAGAAAACAAATTAGACTGAAAGTAATGTTTAATAAAGAAGAAAAAAAATTGGGGGGGGTAATTTTTATACTTCATCATTTTATACTTTAAATTTTATAATTTCTACATGTCATCACACTAAATTTAAACTGATGAGATAATACTCAGAAAAATTTCCAAATTTCCAAAGCCCTGATGAATCTGAATCTCAGACTTTGTATTCTATATGCACTGGCAGACAATTGCTAAGGACAGATGACAGTAACAGTGATAGCAACCCCAAAATGGAAGCCAGGAAAATGTGGAAATTAGCATAAGTGTGCATAAGGATACAGTAAGATGTGATGGGCGTATGCAAATTTTGGATGGCCAAATTTGTTCGCCACATGATGGTGCTGATAAGAGATATAAAGGATTTGACACATATTGACCATTATTATTCGAAAGAAAAATTTAATGGGAAAGAATCAATGAACTATCCCTTTTTGGTATGTCTTTTCAACATGACTTAGATGATTTTACACACGGCTGTATTACTGGCCAGATTGAAGAAGGGTGAAAAATAACAGATGTTGCTAGGGAATTTGATGTCAGCCACAATGTTGTTTCAAGGATTTGGAAATCATTTCAAACAAATGGAATGCATAGCAAACATCATGAAGGAGGTCAGGTTCATATTATGACAGCTGCAAAAGAGAGGTACATAATCCTATCAACAAAAAGGAACCGGTGCAGCACAGCTACTGAGGTAACAAATCAGTTACTTGATGTTACCGGCAAGCAAATCTCCCGAAAAACTGTATCTAGATGTTTGCGTCAAGGAGGACTATACACCCGCTGTCCTGGTATGTGAATTCCATTGTCTAGATGTCATCATTCCGCCCATTTGTGATGGTGTCATAGCATCAGAATTGGAGGGAAAATGACTGAGCTTGTGGACTATTCTCAGATGAGAGTAGGTTCAGTCCGTCATCGGACTGTAGACAGCAGTTGATATGACATGAGAGTGGTACTGCATATAGTCCAGCAGACATACAGGAAAGAGGCTGATATCCTATATGCAGTATCATGGTATGGGCTGGGAATATGATTAACAGCCATATGTCACTGTATGTGCTTCCAACTGAATCCCAAATTCCAATGAATGACAAAATCCCAAATCCCAATGAAAATCAAAAATCCCAAATCCCAATGAATGACAAAATTTTTGGAGAAGTCTTTCTTTCTCTCTCTCTTTTTTTTAAATGTTTTGTACAAATTTCATTAAAGGAGGAAAAAATTAAGAGTCTGCAATAAAACAGGAAATAAATTTTCTTATTTTTGATCGTTAATAATAAAGCTTGAAAATGAACATATAATCTGTGAAATTCAACTTCTGGAACAGTGTTAACTGGAAGAGAAACACATCCTTGTAAAATTTTAAAAAGCAATTTTAGTTTGACACAGACTTTTTAGAGTGATTTGTCTAAAAAGTGGCTATGACTGGTCAGCGATAAATTAATGATATCCCATTGCCTCATGTTTTCATTTTCCAAGGTGCTGTCAGTGATAAATTTGTTTTCATGGATAACAGTGCAACATGACACTGAACAGTCACTGTGCAGGAGTGCTTAGTGAGCGAGGATATTCAATGCCTCATAAGGCCAACGTGTTTTTCAGATATGAATCCCACTGAAAATGTTTTGGATGCTTTGGGGAGGAGTCTTGCTGGTCAACAATGCCCACCAATAAACAAGGACAGCCTCATCCATGCACTAACAGAGGAATGGGATAAATTACTCCAGCATTTGGTGGATAATGTTGTGAAAAGCATGACATCACATATGGAATCCAGCATGGCCCTCCGTGGTTGCCATATCCCATACTGACATCTTATATCAGAATGCATATGGATGGCAATTGCATTTTTTTCACTTTTAGGTATTCGGCACAAAATAACAACTTTGTTTCTTGAACAATTTTTAAAGCTTTCTAGATTTTAGAGCACAATAAATTACTTTTATTGTTATGCCCTAGTACAGTCAAAAGTCATTAATTCGGACACCCATAATCCGGACCTCAAAGCTACAAACTTTCTGCGCATGCGTCACATTCACGCATGCGCACAGGCATTTACGAGTGCGCGTAAGACCTTTACGGCTGCGAATATGCATGTGCGCATGCGCGTTTAATGTAACGGATGGCATAAGCTGAGCTAAAATTATGTAATTCAGTTAATGTTGCAGATTGCGTTGTTCCTTAATCTTTGAATTGGATCCGGCTTATTATTTTTTGCAGACTGTTAGAGCAATTTTATAAACATAAGCTTGAACTTTCGATTATGTCAAATAGAATTTCCGAATATATATTTACTAATATATAAAGGATCTACAAAGCAAAAGTATGTTTCGAAATCCGAAATCTGTTAATCAATTTCACGCCACGGAGTGCAATGAATTGGAAGTTGATCTGTCAGCACTATCCTTATCTTCAGGGCAGATGTTTTATTTTATTTGGCTTATAATTCCTTACTAAATGTAGTATTTCATCTCGATGTACTCCGTCTTTGATATGATTTAAATCAAGTTCCTTGTCATTATAATTCACTTCCGATAATAAAGAAAGTGACCCAGAGGTTATTGAAAACGAAAAAATTTCGATTGACAAATTAGTCGGTATTCTTGACACAGCAATTATAGGACTTGAACAGCGGACTTTGTAACTAAAAAAGAAATTATGTCTGTTTAATAGAATTAAAGAGAAGGTATTATCACATGAAATGAAGCAACTTAAACAGCTTACATTGAAAGAAATGTTTAATAAAGTAAACAAATAAATATTAAGCTTTTTCTTTTTGTAAATTTTTATACCCTTTAGATCATAATTGTTCTTTATTTCATAAATTACAGTTTCATATTTTTAATTTTGTAATTTCTGCATGCCATCTTACCAGATTTAAACTGATGATCTATAATCCGGAATCTCCGAAGTCCCGACGAGTCCGGATTAACGACTTTTGACTGTATTCTGAGATTATTTTATTTCACTTGGCAATCAGCCATACTTACTTTTTACATATTATACAACTCTTTGTGAACTGTCCTTAGCAATTGCCCATCAGTGTATTATCACCATACAGCTATTCAGGATGCCATTTAAATAGGCTACCACATTTTGTGTTTCAATGCATATTTGGCAGCTGACACTCATTAACATAAAAGGACAAAGAAAAGTTCTAAAAACAGACAGAGATATAGCAGGAAAATTACTACTCATATTGTTAATGAAATTACTTTCAACATCAGTTTGAAATAGAATACAAACAATCATTTAAATTAAAGAATTTCATACTTTATAAAATATTTCTCCAAAAAGCACTTTTAGGCAAATAAAATCAAATTCATTAAGGAACTATTTTAAAGAAAATAATATTCTAAAAAACTTTTTAAACATTTATTTATTTTTTTCTATTCAACGCTTACTCCTTTGCATATTCTTCGCTCTTCTGCATTAAATACTTCCCATAGCCTTTGTTTCTCTTTTCATCACCAATAATAACTAGAATAAAAAGTTAATAAAGTCAATTTTCTGAATAATAGTTATGAAAAAAATATATTGATTCATTACTTCAAAGAAAATAAGAATAGTACTGTATTGATCATAAAAAAACTGCCAGGTTGAAGAGCATACATAAAAACAAAGAAAGTTTTTTTTTATAAAATATAAATTTAATGTCTTCCATCAGGATGGCCATCTTTTTTACAAATTTAGCATCTAATTTAATATCATATATTATATTTAATCTCAAATTATGCTATAGAAGTTAAATGCTATCTTTAAAACACAGTAAAATTACTCTTCATATGATATTTAAGGGAAAAAATCCCAAATCCCAATGAATGACAAAATTTTTGAAGAATTTTTTCTTTCTCTCTCTTTTTTAAATGTTTTGTACAAATTTCATTAAAGGAAGAAAAAATTAAGAGTCTGCAATAAAACAGGAAAAAAATTTTGTTATTTTTGATCACTAACAATAAAGCTTGAAAATAAACATATAACCTGTGAAATTCAACTTTTGGAACAGTGTTAACTGGAAGAGAAACACATCCTTGTAAAATTTTAAAAAGCAATTTTAGTTTGGCACAGACTTTTTAGAGTGATTAGACAGGCTTTCTTCTCTTTCAGCAAGAAGATAAGATCCAAAGATGGAAGAAGCAATATAACCATTTTAATTGGGTGAAACTAATATAGAAAAACTAAAGTGGAAACTAATATAGAGCCATTTGCCAAGCAAAACAGAAATGGAGCAAGAAAAATTAAGATTAAGCATAATTTTGCCTTTGTTGTGCAAAAATTAGCAATAAAGCTTCTCCACTTGGTGAAGTGGACTTTCTTGAATCTTTCTACATTTACAGAATTCTATATCTCTTAATTAATGAAATTAATTCCAATCTTTCAAATGCTTTTAGAATTCTAATATTTTAAGTCCCAATTCTGCCTTTTTCATGCAAAAATTAGCCATAAATCTTCTTCGGTTAGTGAAATGGACTTTCTCTCAGCTTTTCACATTCATAAAAATTTATTTCTTCAGTTGATGAACTAGACATTTTCTAAGCTTTTCATATTCACAAAAATCTATCTCATTTAATTATTTACATTAATTCCAATCCAGTTCTTACTAATGCTTTTATAATTTTTAGCTTCTCGTATTTCATTTCTATTTTTTGACAGATGGTACTTTGTTCACTTTTGCTTCACTCTGCCCACTGCTTTCGACAAAAAATAGTTTTCTATTCCCAAGTTTACACCATTATGAGTACACAAGATATCATTTCAACTGAGCCGGAACAAGTCGAACCACCTGTGTGATATTTGCAGCTTATGGTGGAGCTTGGAACTAGTTTGGATTATCAGCAAACAAGAAACACTGAAATAACTTGTGAAAATTAGTGCTCAAATCTAGCTTAGTTTCCTTTTCTTTTTTTTAATACTAAAATCTTAATTGTATATTTTTAATACTAAAATCTTAATTGTATACTTTCTGGGCATAGGTAAAGAAAGTCAATCCATTTATAAGGTATTGGGGTTGATTGGCTGTATTTTTATGGGTTCCATAATACAAAGTAAAGGAATCTTCCTCAATAAATATGCTTGCTGGTACAAATTATGGTCATAGGCTCTAGTTATAACTAATGGCAGAACTTAAGATATGGTTTTTCATGTAATAGTAATAAAATGAAATGCAGGAGATTTTAAAAAAGTAAACAAAACAAATATAGAAGAAATACTCTCATGCTCAAAATTATGAAAAATTGAAAAACTAGAAAAGCTTATCACAACTTTGAATGCACAGAAAAAGTGACAGTATCAAATACAGTGCAACCTCTAGTTAATGGAAGCTGTAAAATCCCACAAAAAATTTTAATAAATGGAGGAATTTGCAGAATGGTGGTTATGATACACCATTTCAGATTTTTTTTTTACTTTAAACGTAAATAATAATAAAATGAAATATTAATACAAAATTACATACATTAATGTATACATCCAGTCAAAGTTACACATGAAAATTACATAAATTCATTTTGAAAAATAATCAGTTACTTTAGTTTGATTGTCAGGAGCAACATTTCACGTCGTAATAAATCTTGCATCTTTGTAATGCATGGAAAATGCCTTCTGATACATTGGTCTTCAGATTGAAAACTGCATCATAAAGTATCAAACACATTTAACACAGATTTTGTACATTTATTTTCATTGTGATTATCTTCTCCATCATTATCAGTCTTTGGTGGTCGTGTGTGCTTAATGCATGATATAATTAAAGAAAACAAGAGTAGACAATCTCCTATAACAAAAGAATATATTAAATACTAAATTACAATTTAAATTACATTGAAGAGATCAACACAGAGCTCGGAACACAGTTCATGCTAGCGTCGCGTACACTTGTCCGACGAGAAGTCTGAGTGAGTAAAGATGTCGCTTTGCTGCTCCGATTAAGAACTGGATTTTACACGTGGCGCCATCTCATGAATAGAAGTTGAAGTATCTGTCGGAACGCCACAGTACTCCCCCCCCCCCCCCCCAAGTACCATCGGTACGTTATAAGTACTTTGGGTTAAATTTAACCTTTCTTCCAGATCTGGTAGTTTTAGGTTGCTCTTTAACGGGATGTAAGCTTTCTTCCGGGAGTGATGTTGATGAGGAAGTTGTTGGATCTTGCATTAGAAATGCTGGTTTGAGACGATCGATTCCAATCACTGATTGTTTGCCATTGCAGATGATGGTGAAATGTTTCGGTGTTCGTTTGACAACTTTGAATGGACCATCATATGAAGGTGTTAAAGTTGGCTTAATTGCATCGTTGCGCACGAATACGTGCGAAGATGTCTCAAGCGCAGGATGTACAAAATAGCTTGGCTGGTTATGCGAAGATGCTGGGGTTGGCGAGATATTGCTCATGGTCTCACGTAAACGTTGAAGGAATGTTGGAGGGTCGATAACTGGAGTAGATTCTGGGTGAAAGAATTCACCTGGCAGACGGAGGGTTGCACCATATAACATTTCAGCACAAGTGCTACCAATGTCTTCTTTGAATGCTGTGCGAAGACCAAGCAAGACTAGGGGTAAGGCTTCTGTCCAGTGTGTGCTACTGTGGCACTTCAGACCTTGTTTGAGAGATCGGTGAAAGCGTTCCACCATCCCATTTCCAGATGGATGGTATGGTGTTGTGCGAATATGGCGAATGCCAAGAAGAGAGGTGAGGGATGCGAACAAGTGACATTGAAATTGTCGGCCTTGGTCAGTAGTGATGGTGGTAGGCATGCCAAATCTTGAAAGCCACTGGGAGATGAATGCTCGAGCTACAGTTTCAGCGGATATATTTTCAATAGGAATGGCTTCAGGCCATCTTGTGTACCGATCAATACAAGTGAGGAGGTAAGTGTAACCATTTGAAGGAGGCAATGGGCCAACCAAGTCTAAGTGCACATGATCAAAGCGTCTTGCTGGAAGGTTAAATTGTTGAATGGGGCTGTGAGTGTGACGGGATACTTTACACCGTTGACATCTAATACATGAACGAGTCCATTCTGTGATGTCTTGATTCATTGCTGGCCAGACAAATCTGTCTGCGATCAGCTTTTTGGTGGCACGGATTCCAGGATGTGCCAAATTGTGCAAGGCATTAAACACTTCACGTCTAAAATTGACAGGAATATAGGGACGTATTCTATTGTTCTCTATGTCACAGTAAATTTTAAGCGTTGGATCAATGTGCAGCGGTTGTAACTGAAGGGAGGTTTGTGGATTTGAGATTAGGTTCTTGAGTTCCTCATCATGCAATTGAGCTTTTGCAATTTCAGAGAAATCTGGGGTAGTGAGGTTGATATTGTTTACCCGAGACAAGGCATCAGCGACACAATTATCAGTACCAGAGACATATCTGATATCTGTACTAAACTGGGCGATGAAATCCAGATGTCGAAGCTGACGAGGAGAACATGAGTCAGAGTTTTTTCTAAAAGCGAAGGTTAATGGTCGATGATCGGTGAAAATGATGAAGTCGTGTCCTTCCAAGTTGTGCCGGAAGTATTTAACAGCACAGTACACAGCAAGTAGCTCTCTGTCATATGTGCTGTATTTCCTTTCTGCAGTAGTAAGTTTTCTGGAAAAGAATGCCATTGGGGAAAGTCCTTTAGTGGTATGGGCTTGAAGCACTGCTCCTATGGCCGTGTCAGATGCATCTACTACCATTATAGAGAGCTGATCACTAGGTGAGTGATAAGAAAGTGTGGCTGCATTTGCCAGATCGTGTTTGCATTGCACGAATGCTGCAGATGCAGATTCAGTCCAAGGGACAGCTCGTTGATCGTTTTTTTTTTTTTTTGCTATTCTTCTTCAGAAACTCATGTAGGCAGGCTTGTGTTTTTGCGGCATTTGGCAGAAAGCGTCGGTAGAAATTTAACATTGCTAGAAAACGCTTCAGTTCAGAGATGGTTTTGGGCTGAGGTAGGTCGTTAATTGCTTTGACTCTTTCCGGTAAAGGTTTGACTCCATTCTGGGTGATAAGACATCCAAGAAAGGAAACTGAGGGTTGACCAAGTACACATTTGGATGGATTTAGTTTTAATCCATGATCTTTAAGGCGAGTGAAAATCTGACGCAGATGTTGAAAATGTTCTTCCGCATCTGTAGATGCAACCAGGATATCATCAAAATATGGGATGCAGAAATCGAGGCCAGACAGTACTTGGTGTATGAAACGCTGAAATGTTTGGCCAGCATTGCGAAGGCCAAATGGCATATATAAGTACTCAAAGAGACCAAATGGTGTAGTCACTGCGGTCTTGGGCACATCTTCAGCATGCACTGGGATCTGATGATATGCTCTGGCAAGATCGAGGGTAGAAAATATGTTTGTTCCATGAAAAAGATGGGTACAGTCTTGGATATGTGGGACTGGATATCTGTCAGGGACTGTGACGGCATTAAGTCGACGATAATCTCCACAAGGCCGCCAGTCACCATTAGACTTTTTAACCATGTGAAGT